AGGCCAGGAATGGTGGTGCACACCTATAATCCCAGTACTCAGGAGGCTGAGGCAGGAGGATCACCAAGTTCCAGGCTAGCCTGAACTACATAGTGAGACTGTTTCAAAAAGCTAAAAAAGAAAAAAAAAAAAAAAAAAAAAAGGAATGAATGAAAGAAAGAAAGACAAAAGGATATTATGGAGAACTTAAAGTACACAAAGGGGCACAAAGACCCATGTACCCTTCACCCCGGTTTCAGCAACGACCAACTCAAGGCTGGTCCTGTAATCCCACTCAAATCCAGGGATGCTCTTATAATCAGGGAAAGCCTCTCACATTGACATCTGTTCCAAGCAAGGAATCATGAGCACAAGGGCAGTTATTCACAGATCAGAGGGAAAACCTTTTCAGGCAAAGGGAACCAAAGGCCTGAGTGGTAAAGAGATGGGAGTGTTTGAGGTGAAGTGGAGCTAGCCGAGTGGATACAAAGGAGGGTGGGAGAGGTCAGAAAGGGAAGCAAAGCCCGACCTCGTGATAGCCCCGGAGGCTCTAAGGAGTTTGGAAAGGTATAATGGGACTCCATTCATTGAAGAGTTTTAAGTTGCCACTTGACAAAGTCAGTTCTTCCTGGAAGACTGGAATATTTCAATAGCTCCCTCTATTTAGCACAAAGCCTGATCTCTTTAAAATTACCTGTAAGAGCCTTTCCTTTGTTCATTCAGTTGTGTGCCAGGCACACTAAGTTGCTTCCACTTCTGCGATCAGACCATGCACTTTTTTGCTTCTGGGCATTTGTCCTTGCAGTTCCGTTTGCCAGAAAGACTCCATTCTAATCGGCTCCTGTTCATACTTGGTTTAAAAATCACCATTTGTCAGGCTGGGGTAGGTGCTTCTTCTGGCACCCACAACTTTCTATGCATTTCAGGTCTGACCCTAGTAGGTAGCAGTCTAATTAGCTGTGGATCGTCTTCTTTTGCCTGGAGTGCCACATTACTGCGGAAACTGTAGTACTTGACAGCCTAGAGCCTGACACATAAGAGATCAATAAACTTATCCTGGTTGGGAGAGGTGTGAGGGTTGCGATGGGTCCTGGTCCTTGGGCTCTGTCTGGGTATGCAAAGTGATTCTCCCAAGTAAGCAAGCCTAGGTTACCTACTTTGCACTAGTCTGCAGGGCCTGCACGCATGCGTCATGTCAGGCGGGACCCCCCCCCTCCGTTTATGCTAATCACTGCGCTCCAGGATTCAGCCTCTGCCGGGAATATGCAAATCACTTGCTTCAGTGCGGGAGGCCTTTCATTGTCCCGCGCTAGGATTATGCAAATGAATAGGCCTCCAGTCCAAGATCCAGGCCGACTCGTCGCCCTCCACCCGCAGAGCATCCCATTTTTATGAGGCTCGCGGCTGTACGCACGCACGCGCGCGCAAGCTCCGCAGCTTCCCGAGGCTTCAGGCTGTGGACTGTACCAAGTAAACCCGGGCAGCATCGGACAGAGCGCAGCAGCCCCTCTGTGGGTTCCTTTGGCAACCCGTCTCGGATAGCCCCTTTTCCCGCAGAACAACAGGAACGGTCCGTCTGGCCGCGCAAGCGCCCTCGGCTCCTCACGCCCCTTGCTCTCCCTCCTAGCCTACTTGCAACGCAGGCGCAGAGCCCGGGCGTGCAGCCGCCACCGCCGAGCCAGAGCTGCGGCCGCCAGCGCCGGTGAGTGTCCGGGTTCGGGGTGCGCGGGGCATTCTGGGAAGCGGGCACTACGGCCCCGCTGCATGATGGGAGTGGCGGCCGCCGTCACCGTGGAGAGGGTAGCGGGCTCGGCCTTCACAACCAGGGGAGAGACTCAGACTTCCCTCTCTCCCACACGCGGCTCCATGCTCTTCTGGGGCATACTGGGAAAGCCGTGCAGTCCCCTACAGCATTATGGGAGTCGTTATATATGCCTTCTGGGAAGGGTTAGCCTAGTCCTTTTGGGGGCCTCGCCCCTTTTGTCACACACCTGGAAGCTTGGGGCGCTTCTGTGCAGGGAGTTTAGGAATATGGTCTTTATAGGCCCGAGGCATCCTGGGAAGAACTGCCGCAGGGCATTGTGGGACTGGGCCTTATTGTCTTGTGCAAGATTTTACACTGGCCTGTTTGCCTTAGCATTGTGAGAATAGTGCCTGTTGTCGTCACACGGGCTATCTTGAGAGTTAGTTGCTATTTATTTGTTTTATCATAGCGAGAGAGCTGCATTTGTAGCGCTCTAAGATCGTGGGAGCCACTGTGGCCACCACAGACTTATGTACAAAGGATGCCTCCACCTGGTATCTGAAATACTCTGGTCCTTGTGTGGTGTGGGCTTGGGGAAGGCATGGGCGGGACAGATGGGCATTGTCTCCAGGTGACCTCATGGGAAATTCCCATTGCCCTTGGCCTATCATTACCAGATAGGATAAAAAATGCCTAGTTAAATGTGAATTTCAGGTAAATCTTTTACAAAAGTCCTAAAATGTATATAAAAAAAAAAAAAATAGAAAAGTAAGTCCCAAAGGTTGCGTGGAACATACGTATATTATTTATTTTTCTTAACCCTTGTGGGCTTCTTTGTTTTACGGGTTTTTTTTTTTTTTTTGAGACAGGGTCTCCATATGCAGTTCAGGCTGGCCACAAACTGTTGGTGATCTTCCTGCCTCAGCCTCCCCAGTACTAGGATGACAGGCATGCCTCACTGCACCTAGTTTATGTATTTCTTGTTTATCTGAAATTAAAATTTAACCGGGAGTCCTGTTTTTATTTGCTAAATCTGACAGTCTTAGCCAGGGATAAGGTAGAATTCCCAAATTAGATGAGGCCATACAAGTAAGAGAGTATTATCAGAACTCTTTTTTGTCAGTTTCAATTATTCTGTCCTTTAAAGCCCAGATCCGGGTGTCTTCTTTAAGAAGGTGCCCTGCCAATGATGCCAGCTCTGTCATACTCTAGCCTCTCTTTTTTCTTTTAAGTCCCCAGTACTGCACTTGACCTGTGGGCCTTAAAGAGATCTTGTGTTTTCTGCTGTTGTAGTCGCAGTGCCCATCGCAGGCCTTGGCATATAAGAGGTGCAGCTGAGGCTGGTAGCCCCTTCACTGCTGTCTACCATGAGGGAGTGCAGTGGGGAGCCAGAAAGGGAGGGGGAAGCGTGTGTATGCCTCTAAGGGTCTACTGGGGAGGAGAGAGGGTGAGGAATCAGAAGGCTTCCTGGGAGAGGCAGAGGGACTCTCTGGGCTCGGAAGTACTATAGACATCCTTATTGCTTTGAAGAGTGAAAACACGTTCTCTAGGAAGGCAAGGAAGAGAGAGGACATGCCAACCAGCAACAGCAGGGTGTACTAAGATCCTCAGAATTCGAAAGGCCAAAGCTGGGCGTGGTGGTACACGCCAGTAATCCCAGCACTCAGGAGGCTGAGGCAGGAGGATCGTTGCAAGTTCCAGGCCAGCCTGGGCTACAAAGTGAGCTCAAGGCCAGCCTGAACTGCATAACGAGACCCTGTCTCAAAAAAAAAAACCAAAAAACCAAAAAAAAAGAATTCAAAAAGGCCAGGTGTGCATGAGGAGAGACAAGAAGTCTGGCATGGTTGGAGTTTATAGGCAGGTGGGGAGGGAGTAGTAACAGCCACTGTCTTGGAGTCCCTGCCACATACCAGCAGTCTATATTCAATCTTTAAAACATCTTCTGAGCTGAGAGATCATTTTAGGAGGGTAGGATGACATGGCTTCAACCACCTACCAGATGGTTTAACCTTGGGCTATCTAGGTATCTTCTCTGCGCCTCTGCTTCCTCATCTGTATAAAGGATGCGCTGTCCCTGTAACGGCTCTGAGGAGTTCATGAATCAAGGCCTGGAAGCCCCTTTCCTACAGAGAAGGAAACAGGCTGGAGAGGTTATGTCCTTTGCTTAAAGCTGCACAGCTAAAGGATTTAAGATTTAAGACTCAAGCCCAGACACTGCATTGTCAGTTGAAACAACTAAGGCTGATGTTTGTGAACTAGCACAGCCATATCAATTGTTTCAATATTTAAAATGTTTCTAGGCCAGTTGGTATATCACTGCCACACCAAGTGTTCCATACCCCTAACTCACACTGAATCTTCTAGTCCCAGATTTCCTAACAACCCAGCACCTAAAGGGGTGATGCCTGGCATAGGTGTCCTGTTCCATTTTTGGTTCATTTTTGTTGGTTTTTGAGACAGGGTCTTGCTATGTAGCTCAGGCTGGCCTTGAATTCACTATATAGCCCAGGCTGGCCTTGAACTCATGGCAGTCCTCCTGCCTCAGCCTCCTGAGCGCTGGGATTATAGTTGTGTACCACTAGACCTGGCTATCTACTCTTGGTTCTGATTGGTACCTGTGCCGGTACTTCCTGTTAAATATTTGGAGTATTTGGCTGGGCATGGTGCCCAGTACATGCCTATAATCCCAGCACTCAGGAGGCTGAGCCAGGAGGACTGCCATGAATTTGAGGCCAGCCTGAGCTACATACCGAGATCCTGCCTCAAAAACTCTAAATAGGGCTGGGGATTTAGGTCAGCAGCAAAGCGCCTGCCTGGCAAGCGCAAGGTCGTGAGTTCAATTCCTGGTACCGGAGATAAAACAAAAAAAACAAAACAAAAAAAAAAATTGTTTAGGGCTGGGGATTTAGCTCAGCGGCAAAAGCGCCTGCCTGGCAAGCACAAGGTCGTGAGTTCGGTTCCCGGTACCAGAGAAAAAAACCAAAACCAAAAAAAAAACTCTAAATAAATAGCTGGGCACGTGGCACATGCCTTCAATCCCAGCTCTTGAGTTTGAGGCTAGCCTGGCTACATAGACCTTGTTTCAAAAAACAAACAAACCTACATGAATGAATGAAGGAACGAAATAACACCTCTTCTTACTTCACTGAATGTGAACCACAAAGTAATCTTATTGCCTAGATGAGGAAACTAAGGCATACAGTTCAGGCTCTGTAGGTTATCTGAGATGGGCTGGGGTCATTAGCGCTGACACACAGCTATGCTTGGAATGCAGATGAGTGCTTTATAAAAATTTATTGAGTCACCACAGGCCTTTCCTCTCTCCCCTGTCCAGCATCCTTCTCTACCTGCCAACATCCTGTGTTAGAAGAGCTTGCTACTGGAGGTGTGACTGTGGAGAGCTGGCCAGGGAGGGACGCTGCCCAGCTGTTGCTCTACTCCTGTCTCCTGTCCCCTCCCCTGGCCATGACAGAGACTCGTGAGCCAGCTGAGACTGGAGGTTACGCCAGTTTGGAAGAAGATGATGAAGACCTTTCTCCAGGTGAGATGGCCTTGGAGGTTGTGTTGTCAGCTTGACAGTCATCACGGCTTGGGGTTTGGGCTGCACTGGGAAATCTTGACGGGGAGTGGATCCTTGTCTTGCTGTGAGTTCTGCTCTCACTGGAACTCCTTGAGGGGCTAGGAGATTTCTTCCAACTGAAACTCCTAGGGGTTGTAGATGGGTTGGGATCTCTCGCCTTGCTGCGAGTTCTAGATTGGCCACGGCCTCTCTCCCTGCTGGGGGTTCTAGATCGGCTGTGGTCGCTCTCTGTGCTGGAGGTTCTAGATTGACTGTGACCTTTCTTGCCAGAGGTTCCAAATCGGGTATAGCCTCTCTGCTTTTTAGGTGTTCTAGACTGTCCAAATTGGCTGCAATCTTGCTCCTTATTGGGGATTCTGGATTGGCTATTATCTCTTTCCTTGCTGGGGGTTCTAGATCTGTTTTGATTGCTCTCTTTGTTGGGGATGCTAGATTGGCTGTGACCTTTCTCCTTGCTAGAGGTTCCCGATTGGCTATGTTGGCTCTCCTTGCTGGGGGTTCTAGATGGTCTTGTATGATCTCTCTCCTTGCTGGGGATTCTAGATGCTCTTGTATTGTCCGTCTCCTTGCTGAGGATTCTAGATTTTCTTGTGTAATCTCTCTCCTTACTGGGTGTTCTAGATCTGCTATGATCTTCTTCTTTGTCGGGGACTCTAGATCGCCTGTGATCTTTATCCTTGCTAGCAGTGCTAGATCGGTTGTGATCACTTTCTTTGCTGGCACTTCTAGAATGGCCATAGCTTCTTTCTTCACTGGGGGTTCTAGACCAGGTGTGACTTCTTTCCCTTCTAGAGCTTCTAGATTGGCTTCTCATCTGGCTAGGAGTTCCCTTCCGGGTACGACTTCTTGCTCTAGTGTGACTTCTTTTCCAGCTGTGGGTTCTGGCCTTGCTGTGGGTCCTCTTCCAACTGTGACTTCTTGCCTTTCTGGGGCTTGTAGACCCACTGTGACTTCGGGTTCTGCTGGGGGTGCTAGATGGGCTGTGACTTCGAGTACTGTTGGGGGTGATAGACCGGCTGTGACTTGGGGTCCTGTTGGGGGTGCTGGCCTGGCTATAACCCTTGGCCCTGTTGGACACCCCAGTTGGACTGTAACTCCGCTCCCATGTGGGGGCCGTCACCTGACTGTAACTGTTCACTTTCCTCAGCGACGGTGGAGACTGGGTGTGAACTTTCTCCTCAAAGGCTCCTCTAGTTGGGCTATAACTCTTTGCCCTACTAGGGGTTACGGTCAGCTTGGAACTGCTCCCGGTGCCTGGTGCTCCTGGTGGGCTGCCGCTCTCTTCCCTGCCCACGGTTCTGGGCTGGCTGCTGTCATCCCTTTCCCCGGTGTTGGTTCCAGACTGGCTGTGACCTTTGCCCTCGCTCTGTTTCGACTGGGAAGCGGTTCTCACCTTTTTGGCCATGCCTGGCTTGGCCTCATGCGTTCTTACGCTTCGGGGTGTGCTGGCCCTGCTGGGTGGCCCCCGGGAACCATGGTGTCGTCTTCTGCCTGGAGTTCGGCCCCGACTGTGCGCACCTCTGTGCTGGTGGCGTTTTGCGCCACGGGCCTTGCTGGCTTCACTGGCCCTGGTGTCAGTGCTGGCCCTGGTGTCAGTGCTCACCTTGCTGGGCGTTCTCACTTTGCTCCGCGCTTGGGACTTGCTGCTGGAACGGTTAGAAGGGGCTGTCTTTGTACCTGTTGATTTGGTGGACTTGGAACTGCTCGGGCTGATGACTGAGTTGGGGGACATCGATGACTTGGGGGGCACTGAGGAGCTGTTGGGGATTGCTGGTTTGGTGGTCTTCAGGGAGGCAGGAGGCGTGGGAGCCTTGGCGGGCATGGAGGGTGCGGTGGAAGCCGGAGCCTGGCTGCGCTTCGTGGATCTCTTAGGTGGAGAAGACATGGTGGACGCAAAAGGGCTTGTGGCCCTGGAAGTCATGGTGGCTGGCGAGACCTGGTAGCCGCAGACAGTGACCTGACTGCCTGTTCCAGACCAGTTGCATGAAGTCATAGTGGGCACTGAAGGCCCTGGAGGGGGGCTAGTGTGAAGTCAGAGGTGGGAGGAGGGGGGAAGGGCCCCACCCGAGGCCAGAGGTGTTGCCTCTTTTTCCTGGTCATTCAGCAAATGTGCCCCAAGGCTGACTCGTCTGAGCATTTCCAGGGGTGTGGAGATGGGACAGACCAAGGCCCTGCCAGGAGGAGTCTTCCAGACTTAGACGGTCACCATTCAGGACTGTGAGGGTGTAATGGGGTTCAGGGGTAGGGGGAGTCCAGAGGAGAGAGACACCAACCATTTAGTGGGGAGGTCAGGGAGGACTTTGCAGGGGAGGGGAGATGCGAGCTGGTCCTTGAGGAGGGCAGGAGTTGCCTGTAGGGCAGGACAAGGTCCGCAGGGGAGCAGCAGAGGGAACTGCCTGGAGGAGGAGGCCAGAGGCTGGGCCCCCTACCGTGGCAGCTGAAGAAGCCCGTGTGCCCTCTGTGACCATGGCTCTGTGTGGACAACCCCCAGCCTGGCTGTGGGTGTCACCCCTTCCTATACATTGACTGAAGTTTCCCTTTACGTGCGGTGCTTGGGATGAAACCCAAGGCCTTTGCGCTGAAGCTTCATGCCCAGCGTTTTTGTTTTTTTATTGTGAAATAGGAACTTGCTAAGTTACTAAATTGCCTCAGCTCTACTCAGACTTCTGATCCTCTTGCTTTAGAATGCTGGGATTACAGATGTGTACCACCAAGCCCGGTGTCCCCTTTTTCTTGAGCTTGTCCTAGCCATGTCCTCCATACTCATGAAATCATAGTTATGTATCTGTACTTACAAATAAAAAATTTTAAATCACTTTACATATGTGCCCACATATTTTAAAATAATTTTTTTTTTTTTTTTTTGGTCTTTTTGAGACAGTCTCATTATGCAGTTCAGGCTGGCCTTAAACTCACTATGTAGCCTAGGCTGGCCTCAAACTTGGAGCAATCCTCCTGCCTCAACCTCCCAAATGCTAGAATTACAGGCATGCATTACCATGCCTGGCAAAAATACATATTTATGAATCCATGTGTTAGTTTGCATAACTACCTGTTAAAATGTTTGTTTCTCTGAAATGATCTGGTGTCAGCTACTACCAGATAGCTCTTCGTGTTAGAGCTATATAACTAAAGGCAAATGCGTCGTCTTTTTTTTTTTTTTTTTTGAGACAGGGTCTTGCTTTGTAGTGCAGGCTGGCCTTAAACTTACTATGTAGCCCAGGTTGGCCTTGAACTCACAGTAATCCTCCTGCCTCAGCCTCCCGGAGTGCTGGGATGGCAGGCCCAGGCATTCACCACCACGCCCAGCTGAATGAGTTGTCTTAACTGCTCCCAATCTTCGTTTCCACATTGGTCAGGGAAGATGACAATAGTACCTCCCTCCAAGGGTTGTAGGGATTAAGTATGTTAATGTAGGGATTGTAGGGTTAATGTAGGGTTGTAGGGATTAAGTATGTCTTTAAGGACAGGGCTTTTCAAGCAACAGTGGATACTGTCATTATGTGCAAGCCCCACCCGCTACCCGACTGCAGTGCTTACTGGACACATGGATTCAGCACATCTGTTGTGTGCCAGACCAGGTCTGGGCCTGAGAACTCGTCTGTGGGGAAGGAAGGCTGTGGGCCGTGCTCTCCGCACTGGAGAGACTCAGTGGGGCTCAGGGAGGGGACAGCTAGCCAGAGCCTCTGTCCTCTGATGCCACTCTCTCCTGAAATCTGTCCCAGCAGGCCCCGAGCATTCCTCTGACTCCGAATATACTCTCTCAGAGCCGGATTCTGAAGAGGAAGAAGATGAGGAGGAGGAGGAGGAAGAGACCACTGATGATCCTGAATATGACCCGGGCTACAAGGTGAAGCAGCGCCTTGGTGGGGGCCGGGGTGGCCCGTCCCGCCGGGCCCCCCGTGCGGCCCAGCCCCCAGGCCCCACGGCTCAGCCCTGCCAGCTCTGTGGCCGGTCCCCGCTTGGGGAGGCCCCACCAGGCACCCCACCTTGCCGGCTTTGCTGCCCTGCTGCAGCCCCCCAGGAAGCACCAGCCCCTGAAGGCAGAGCCCTTGGCGAGGAAGAGGAAGAGCCCCCTCGGGCTGGGGAGGGCCGACCAGCTGGCCGAGGGGAGGAGGAGGAGGAAGAGGAGGAGGGCACCTACCACTGTACCGAGTGTGAGGATTCCTTCGACAACCTTGGGGAGCTGCATGGCCACTTCATGCTGCATGCCCGGGGTGAGGTGTAGGCAAAGCCCCCGGCCAGGGAGCATGGCAGATGGGGTGGGGTGGGAGGAGGGCACTGAGGAAGTTGGAGTGGTCACCGCGGTCATGGGGCTGGGGCACCACGGTCTGTGTTGTTTTAGTGTTAGATGTGTGAAGGCCAGAATAAAAGCCGCATTCTGTGAGTGTTGGTCCAGTGTGTGTTTGGGGTGTGTATGTGTGCGCACGCACACGTGTATGTGTGTGATCAGCACGGTGCCCCAGGCCTTTTATCCCACTGTCCCCTGGGCTCCTCCTTGGCTCCTCAGGATCTCTCTCTGTCATATCACCTGAGCCCTTGCGCAAAGAGGACTTCAGTTGCAATCATACTGGGCTTCCTGGGTGTCTGGGGCTAGGCCAAGGGCCTCAAGTACATGGACTCAGGAATGATGCATCTAGGATCTTAGAAAAGCAGAACCTTAACAGTAATTACCGCCAGGCATGGTGGCACATGCCTGTAATCCCAGCACTTGGGAGGCTGAGACAGGAGGATCGCCATGAGTTTGAGGCCATCCTTGACTACATAATGAGTTCAAGGCCACCCTGAACAACACAGTGAGACCCTGTCTCAAAAAAAAAAAAAAAAAAAGTAATTACAGGGCCGAGGATATAGCTCAGTGGCACAGCACCTGCCTGGCAAGTGCAAGGTCCTGAATTTGATTCCCAGTCCCCCTGCCCAAAAAAACCCAGTAATTAGGGCTGCCATTTTCCTGGCATTACACAGTACCGTACTTTATTTGCATGTGATCATTGGTTTTTAGACTAACGCTGTGAGGTAGGGACTGGGATCCATTATTGCATTTAACAAATGTCTTTGAGTACCTGCTGTGCGCTGAGTATTGGGACTGTACCAGTGAATAAAATAATAGCCTCATCCTCACAAAGCTGGCATGGGGCAGGGCAGGGCAGGGCTTCTGGTGGAGACAGACAGTAAACAAACAAGCAGCACATGGCGAATGGTAGTAAATGCTGTCAAGAAAATACAGTAGAATCCAGGTAGGGTGTCACGTGGGAAGCTGAGACAGGAGGATCACAAGTTCCAGCCCATCCTCGGCAGCTTAGTAACTTAGCCAGACCCTGCCTAAAAATAAAAGAAGTGCTTTTAAAAAGGGCTGAGGATATAGCTCAGCGTGAAGGCCCTGGGTTCAAGAAGGCAGTAGACTTTTACGAAGGAAAGCAGGCATGGAAAAGAAGGCAGGAACCTGGGTGGGTGTGTGTGTGTGTGTGAGAGAGAGAGAGAGAGAGAGAGACTTGTCCCTTCTGTGCCTTCAAGAACAGGACCTGAATTACCGTAATGGCATCATGAACTCCGCACATGGGGCAGACCAGGCCTGGGCTGAGTGCTTTATATGGACAATGGCATGGGGCCCTAATGAGGTGGGGCCGGTTATTCACATACCTCTTCATTCAGCAGCGATTTATTCAGTCCCCCCGAGGTGGCCAGCACTGTCCTGGCAGCTGGGAATGCAGCGGTGAACACTGCATTCCTGCTTTTGTAGAGGTTATAATGGGGAGACAATAAGCAGGTATTTAAGCAAGACATACAAAATGCGTGGCAGGTTAGAAGGCAGGCAGTGCCGTGGAGAGGGAGGAAAGGGTTTGGGAGGCTGCAATTTTCAACACAGGTCAGGCCACTGAGAAGGTGACATCGAAGCAGGACCTGGGCTGCGGAAGGAGTGGCTGTGTGGCTGCTTGGGGACACTGAGTGCAAATGTCCGTGTGCACAAGGGGCTCACGCGGGCAGGAGCTGTGGAAGGCACAGGGCGGGCTGGTGAGAGGTGAGCAGGTAGGAGTAGGCCCAGGTTGTTTGGGCCATTCCTCCCGCTTTGGCTTTCTCTCCATCCAGAGAAGTGTGCGCGCTGTTTTCGGGACCATTTTACCACGGCTACAAAGGCACAGAGTTGAGTTACCTCCTGGTAGTCACACAGCCAGTAAGAAAGAGTCCAGGTTGGAGCCCAGAGAACTGGATACAAAGCACACACTCTTACCACTAAGCCACAGAGCGGAAGTAGCCGTGTGGTTCCCCACAGCCACCACCTGATTTTTACAAGGTGTCTCTGGTCTGCACGGAGCTACTGGGGTTTTTAAGATCACATAGATTACCAGCATTGAAGAATGTGTACTTTCACATAAAAATGGAGGTGTTCTGGCTTCCCTTAAAAAATTGTGAGGTCCATATTGCTGAACCCATGATCCCATAAAAGCAGTAATCTGTCAGAACTGAGTAGGAGCTACTTCCTATGGATGGGGCATTCACTCAGGTTCCCCACACCCCACTCTTTTGATGCTAAAGAACATTTGCAGTTTTGACACCTGTAAAGGGTCTTAGGCCAAAATGTCTTTCAAAGGCCACACTTGCCATCCCACAGTTACAGAACCTGACATTTATCTACTCTTTGAAATGGAACTTCCACCAGACATGGTGGCACATGTGCATAATCCCAGCACTGGGGAGGCTGAGACAGAAGGGTTGTTGGGAGTTTGAGACCAGCCTGTGCTACAAAGGGAGCTCAAGGCCAGCCTGAACTGCACAGTGAGACTCTGTCTCAAAAAGATTAAAAAAATAAAATGGAACTTCCATAACAACTATAGCTGAGCATTACAGAATCATAATTGTCAGAGATGTGCATCTCATGAAAACAAGACAGTGTATTAGTCTGTTTGTGCTGCTATAACAAAACCTCTGAGATTGGGTACGTCATAACCAATAGAGATGTATTTCTCACAGTTCTAGAGACTGGGAATTCCAAGATCAAGATGCCATCAGATTCAGCATCTGGTGAGGGCTGCTCTGTGCTTCCACGATGGTGACTTCCTGCTGTATCCATCCTCAGTAGAAGAGATGGAAAGGCAAAAGACCTAGCTAGTTTCCCTCGAGCCCTGTTACAAGGATATTTAATTCCACTCAGAAGGGCAGAGTCCTCATGACTCAGTCGCTTCCTGAAAGCTCTTACTACTGTCACATCAAGTCTTAGGTTTCCAGCCTAGGAGCACTGAGGGGACATACTCAAACCACAGCACGTGGGTAAGTGTGATCGCAGGTTTTTTGTTTCCAAGGGCAGTAATGCTATCCTCTCTTCTGCCACAAGATAGGGATTCCTAAGTGCAGATGGGGAGAACTGCTCTCCCATCATCGGAGAATCCCAAGGATCACAAGACACTAGGACTCGGAACTCCTGGTCTCCTGCCAGCTGGGTGTCCGTACCCTGACTGGGTACCAACTAAGCCAGCTGGCCAGGCCAAGAAACTGGGTACAGGGAGCGGGCTATGCAGGTGGTGTAGAAGGCTTGAAATGCAAAGTTGGGCAAGCGAAGTAGCCCAAAAATCAGTGTGTGCAAGAATCCACAGCTACTGTAGGACTAACTGGGACATAGCAGACCCAGGAGGAACTTGGAGACAGGCTATGTGCCTTAGTACAGGAACCAGTGACAAGATGCCACGTGGTTGGTGCTTAAACCTCAGGAGCATGGTGCCTGCTGTGCAGAGGGTACAGAAAGGTGCTGGAGTCCCAGCTGCTGGAGGCAGGGGGGTACCTCAGCCCCCTCCTCCCACGCCACCCCAAGCAAGGTGAGTGCCTGGCCTCCTCCTTCCATTCTGTACCATTCAAGTACAGGACTTTAGGAGGTCTTCTCAAGGGAGTCTGGGAAACAGTTTGCACAAAGAGCCCTGTGGAAGCCTGGGCCTCTGGCTGAGAGACGCTACATGACAACAGGCACGGTCAGTGAGAGCACGATATCCTAGGCGTGGGCGTGCAGTGGTGAGGGTCTGAGCTTGCATCCCGGTGTCAGGAGATAATCACATCAACTAAAGTGGTGGTGCCAGGTGCTGAAGATGCTGTGAAGACAGTAAGAGGTAGAAAGGCCCTCGGGCTGAGTAGGCTGAGGGGAGTCCTCTTAGCAAATGGAGATCTGAATGATAAGGTAGCCTTGCAAAGTTCTGGAGTAAAGAATGTTCCAGAGGAAACAGCAAACACCAGGGCCGAGGCAGAAGCCACTGAAGAAAACTGCGTAAGGATAGTAAAAAAAGACAGCAGAGAGGGAATTGATTGGCTCAGGGGCTGGGGCAGGGGCGCAGTCATCCCTGGGTTTTGCAGGCTGGGATAAGGGCTTTGGATGTTACTGATGGAGAGTCAAGAGGGAGGACTGACACAGCCTGATTTCCAGAGTGGTGTAGCAGACTGAAGGAGGCAGGAGTGCTAACAGGACAGCAACTAAGGAGTAGGGCTCCAGCAGGGTGAGCCCAAGTCGGACCCAAGCACTTAGTATATTCATTAACAGGATGGCAGTTGAGCAGGCCAGGGGCTGTTGGGGTCACACTGATCCACTTTCAATGTGAGATTCCCATTTGTCATCCTGGCGGCTGTACCCCGCTTTTGGGGTTTGGGCTGGAGATAAAGATTTGAGATGTGGAGAGCAGCCAGGTATGACGATGCACACTCGTAACCCCAGCACTTTAGAAGGCTGAGGCAGGAGTATCCCAAGGCCAAGCCTAGCCTGGGCAACTTAGCAAGATCCTGTCTCAAAACAAAAACAGGAAGCTGGGCGTGGTGGCACACGCCTGTAATCCCAGCACTCGGGAGGCTGACGCAGGAGGATTGTTACGAGTTCGAGACCAGCCTGGGCTACAAAGTGAGCTCAAGGCCAGCCTGAACTGCATAGTTCCTGTCTCAAAAAGACAAAAACAAAAAACAAAAACAAAAACAGGGCTGAGGGTGTAGCTCAGGATGGAAACCCTTGGTTCAATCCCCAGTACTAAAGAAAAAAAAATTGGAAGCCACCAGCAACGCTAATTCTTAGGAATCTGAGCCGTGTAGAGAGAACGGGCAGCCTCTGGTGTACTTAGGCCAGCCTTTACGAGCGTGTGGGATTAGATTCTTATGTTTGGAATTGGGGGAGACACCGTACGGGTGGTGTGGAAACATCTGGGTCAGAAACTTCTGGGCTTTCACCAGGTACCAAAGGAAGTATTTGGCTTTGGTGAAGTTGGTATAAAGTGATGCCCAATTAACTTCAAAGTTATTTCCCCTATAAGTTACTCCTAAATCACACACAGACACACAGACACATAGACACACACACATCTCCACTAGAGGTAGTGTTTCTCAGGATGGGAATCCTTGCTTCCAGATTCAGAGGAGGTCTGAGGGGAGAGGGAGGCTAGCACGAGTCTTCAGTTAGACTGAGGGTTGGCCCAATGGCTTTGTAGGACGTGATGTCTCTGTTGTAACTACTCAGATCTGCTGTCTGATATAAAAGCAGCTGCAGACAAAAAAATACATGAATGCACCCATGTGTTCCAATTAAAATTTAGTTTAGACTCCTGCCTTACACTGTAAGTTCTGAGTCACGTGACAGAGACCCAAAATAATGGTGGCTTAAATAAGAGAGGTTTATTTCTCTTAGGGAATGGTGTAGAAGTGGGCTGGTATGGAAGTGCTGTGTGAAGCCGACCAGAGACCCGGGATCTTGCTACCTTGTTGCTCTGCCATCCCCGGGTTGGTCTTGTCCTCGTGGCCCAAGGTGGCTGGATACCGCGCCCGCACTCCAGTTAGAAACGTAGAGGATTCTACCCAGGAAATCAGCCAGAGCTCAGTCATAAAGTGGCCATACCTAGCTGCAGGGAGTCTGGGAAATGCGGTCCTTTTACCTGCTACCATGTGCTTAACCGTATTGGGAGACAGCTGTCAGTTTTCATTACATCCACAACCGTGGGCTTAAAAAAAAACATTCTTTGATTCAAATAGAGCCTGTGAATATTTTATGCAGGACATGAGCCCTTGTGTCTAGGGGCACAGCAGGTAGCATCAGGGCATAAAACAGGCCTGGTGGGTCTCCTCTCCGGTCTGAGGGTGACACCTGCTGCTCTGCTCCAGCTTGTAGCTTCTGCTGCGCTGACCAGGTAAGCCCTGAGTCAGGCCCTTGGAGAGAGCTAAAAATAGGATCGTGATGGGAGATCTCCCAGGGTTGGCCAAACAAAACATGAACAGAAGGCATCTCTGTTTGATACCAAACTAGTTTCCCTACAGGGCCAGGCCAACTCCGCCCCGCCCTCCCTCCACCCCACACCCTTATGTTCTCTAGCGTTTCTCACTAAAACCCACAGCTCCCTGCTTATCCATTTGAATATGGATGCTTTGTTTTTAGCTTGCTTATGTCATCTCCTCTACATGGGTAGAAAACATTGTTGAGTAGGGAAGGCTGGCAGGGAGTGGGAGGAAGACAAGGATCCAAGCGGCAAACCCTATGTGACTCAGGGTCCATCCAGCGCTCCGTCTTGCTGTCCCATCCCATGGGCTCAGGTCTGGAACTCAGCCAGCAGCACCTGCCCTCCCTGCGCCCTGCTCAGGCACAGATCCAGGGCGGTTTGCTCCTGTGTAGCCCATGGCATCCGTCTGGGAAAAACTGCAGGTGATTATATAATCTGCAGCTGGTTATTTAACTGGGAATGAAGGAAACAAAAAATTTTCCCTCTTGTTCTCTTTCTGGCTTCTTTTCTAAAAAAAAAAGAGCTTGCAATTATTTGATTTCACTGTATCTCTAAAGGCCCTGTGTCCTCCAAAGACTGAAGCTCTAAATGAGAACCTTCTGGGTCCTGTCTATTGAGGGCTCTTTCCCTTCCCAGGGAGGGAAGTGAATCCCGCGAGGGCCCCCAGAAGGCCTGTGCCTCCTGTCACGTGTGGGTCCCGCAGCCCTCAGAACCCCCATCACTGCGGCGAGGGCTTCAGTTACACTCAGAGCTCTCCCCGAGCATGCCGGATGTAGTGCTGATGGAGCCCTGCCTCCTGAGCGAAGTCCTGCCCACACTCGGTGCAGGCAAACGGGCCAGCGGGGGCACAGGCCTTGTGCACCTGGCGGTGCCGCTTCAGAGAGGCCACATGCCCGAAGGCCTTGCCACAGTCAGGACAAGGGAAGGGAGCCTGGGCAGTGGGGGGTGCATCCGGCGGACAGGGCCTGGCGCCTGGGCCGTGGCTGCGCTGGTGGGCGATCAGGGCCTTGGAGGAGGGGTAGGAGCGGCCGCAGGTGAAGCAGATGAAGAGGGCCCCTTGCAGCTTCTGGGCCACAAAGTCTGCCGGGTGCTCCCGCTTCATGTGACGCTCCTGGAACTTGGAATCGGCGAAGGTGATGAGGCAGTGGGTGCACTCCGGGGCCCCTAGGTGGCCTGCGGGATGTGAGAAGAGGTCGGGGGAAGCCAGCAGTAGTCTCCAGGACCTCCCAAACCCCAGAAGCACGCCAACAATGGTCTGTGCTCTAGGCTTACAAGACTGCTAGTGCTGGATAATGCAAAAAACTTTATTGGGCCGAATTTATAGATGAGCAGAATGAGGCTCAAAGAGGTCAGGCAAATGGCTCACAGTCATGAGGCCTGGACATGAAAAGGTGAAGCCAGGACTGGAACCCAGAGAGTCTGGCCATCTGACAGAGCAGTTAGATGAGAATATGGCTGGGGACTGAACCCCAGGCTCCACCACTTCTAGGCAAGTATGACAGGATCCTCATCTGGAAAATGGGGTGATAACAGTACCTACTCCAAGGGTTGTTGGAAGGGATGAGTTAATTTATATAAGTGCACACAGCAGTGTTGTACAGTATCTGCAATTATTACTACCTAGACAGGAAAAGCAGTGGACCTCTGGAAGCAGACCTGACACAGCGAGGCCTTGGTGTTCTCTTGAACATAAACAGTTTAACAGAACATCAGTGACAGACAAAACTTGGACATGTCCAAGTTATACAAGTGACCAACCACCCCGCTACCTTGGCTAACAGGAGTGACTGGTGCTCCATCAATCACACTGAGCTACTTTTCTTCTCTCTTTTTCTTTTTGTCTTTTTGAGACAGGGTCTCACTATGCAGTTCAGGCTGGCCTTGACCTCACTTTGTAGCCCAGGCTGGTCTTGAACTCGCAATGATCCTCCTGCATCAGTGATCCCTAGTGCTGGGATTACAGGTCTGCATCACCAAGTCTCCTCCCTCCTTTACTAAAATAGCCAAAGTTGTCCCTGCCTCCTGGCAGCATCCATCCTAAGCAAAACCTCCTTTGTTTGAACCCCCATTCAAACTGCCACAGATGATTCCAAATCCTGTAAAGCCTTAATATTCTCTTCCTGAGACACCCGCAGTCCCCCCGTGGTCTGTGTCACAATGAGCAATAAGCTCAACTTGTTCAAGACAGTTGTGTTCCCAGTGGTCTCGCTGGAGGCACTGACACTTATAGTTTTTGTTAAAAATTCCAAACCTCGGGCCAGAGATATAGCTCAGCAGCACAAGTGCCTGCCTGGCAAGTGCAAGGTCCTGAGTTCCATTCCTGATACCAAAAAAAAAAGCCAGCCTAAACTACAAAACAGAACTTCATCTCAAAAAAATCAAAAAAAAAAACAAAAAAAAAAAAAAAAAATCCAAACCTCTCTTTACCTCATTCCCTCACCATAAAGTAAGTACCAATTACCCAGGGTCCATGGTTTAGGGGGACTAAGATAATGCATGTTAAAGTCATTCATAGTATGAGAATGAATGTATCTAGCCCATAATAAGCATTCAGTAGGAGCTGCTGCTATTGAAGTCAAAGAGGCTACTTTCATTCCCATCAAGCTGCCCCCTTTTCTGCAGCCAATTCCAGGGAAGCCCTGCGAGATGGATAGTGGCAGCCTCTTTTGACAGGGAAACCGAAGTCCAGGGAGAGTGAAAGTCTAGGGCACTGCTGGAACCAAAAATCTCCCTAGACACATCTCCAAGCCAAGCCTTTCCAGGAAGCCATCCTCCCCCTCTGAACTGCATCACATGAGCCTACGTGGCCAGAAGAGGGTGAATGCATCTGAGCATAAGGGCGAGGAGGGGCACTGCCCTTCCTAGCAGGGCAGCACCTTCCTAGGAGACAAGGCCCAGAAGGTCCGGACAGTGAAATGCTACAGAGGTCCCCTCGGGATCGCTCGTGTACCCACCCTCCTCTAGCCTGCAGTACTCACAGAGGTTGCCTCCTGAGCCGCTGGGACTCGTCTCCTTGGGCGAATCTTGCTGTTCCACGGTCTCTTCAGGATGCAGGTCCTCCATGGAGACAGGGAGCCTCTGCTCAAGGGAGGAACACGCATGAGAGAGGTGCTCATCGGTCACCAGCCTTAGTGGGCCGGCTAATCCCCTTGACTCTAACGGCACACTATGAACTCTCATGCCTCACCAGAGAAGCCTCAACCCGCCCAGCCGATCAGCCTCCCCGGGTTCGCGATTCCTCCAAGCCTAGGGTCTTCTCACCTGTGACCTATGACCTCCTCCCCCTAACTAACTCCCAGACAGCTTGTGACCCTTGAATCTTGACCCCGCCTTCATCCTACTCTCGCACGTGTAGCATGCCTCTTCCTGTGACCCTTGTTCCATCCAGAGCCCCGCGCGTCCCGCTACCCTCAGCACTGCCTCCAGCTCCGAGTTCCCGAAGCTTGTCGCCCAGGCCTCCGCTTTTCTCCGTACACCACGGGGCTGCCTCTCGCTGTGCCTGTCAGTCGCTCGCGACAGCGCCATCACAGCAAGGGAGTAGGAGAAAGGCCTCCCACGGTCTCCGCACCCTCTGACCTGACAAATCTCTCCAAGTTGAGGTCACAGATTCTGTCCGGTAGTAGCAAACTCACATGGGTCTGGTCCCCAGACTAACGAGCAAGGGACCTTCTCTGCCCTGGAGTGCATTGTGATGACGTCTCGAGTCAGCCTTGCCGTACAAACCTCATCCTACTGCGCAGGGGCGGGGGCGGGGGCTCGCGATGCGCAGGCGCCTTGGCCCCCTCATTGTTCTAAGCCAGCGGCTGCAGGAGTTGAAGAACGTGAGTGCCTTGAGGTTCCTGCACAGCGCGGGACACTGGGTCTCCCCAGTCGCGCTCCAAGACACACCTCCTCGTAGAGGGAGTGACGTCAGGTTAGAACCACCCGAACTCCTCCCTAAGAGTCCAAATTCCGTCGCTCTGGCGCCTTCGGCCTCCGCCGGCCGGGCCCCAAGGGCGGGGCTCCTCCTTGGCTGACTGATCACCAGCTGCGCTCCCAGGGTGTCCTTTCTGCTCGGTTGGTGATTTGTTTTATTTTCTGAGACAGCGTCTCTCTGTGCAGTTCAGGCTGGGCTTGAGTTCACTTTGTAACCCAGCGTGGCCTCGAACTTGCTAAGATGTTCCTGCCTCAGCCTCCCGAGTGCTTGGATTACAGGCGTGCGCCACCACGCCCGGCTTCGGTTGGTGATTTGGAAGCGGGGCAGGGGAAAGCCATCCCTGTGTCCCGGAGGGATGAAGGATTGGAAGCCAGATTTCTGAGTTGTTCAAGCAGAAAGAGGAACGCTTGCATCCCGAAAAAGGGTGGATAGGCGCCCCGGTCCTCCGGGGATAGGCGCTGGGTACTGGATTTCTGGGCCCTGCAGGGTAACACTCAGAAGCAGGGGACAGGATGGAGAACTGAAACCTTGGTCCGGAGTGGGGCGGCTGGGGAAGAAAAAAGCTGGGTGCTCTCTGATCATGTCTCCCCCACCCCTTATTTCCAGCAATGCCTCCGCCGAGGGGTGACGTGACAGCCTTGTTCCTGGGGCCTCCAGGCTCGGGGAAGTCCGCGCTCATCGCAGCGCTGTGTGACAGCGATGTGGAGACGGTAGAGATCCCCGAGGGACGGCCGGACGCCGGGATTCCCAGCCTGAGAGCGGCGGGCCCGGGCCTCTTCCTCGGGGAGTTGAGCTGCCCACCCGCAGCGCCTGGGCCCTGGGCTGCAGAGGCCAATGTGCTGGTACTGGTGCTACCCGGGCCCGAGGGAAACGAGGAGCCCTTGGCCCCAGAGCTGGGAGAGGCAGCGCGCGCCGCCTTGGCTCGAGGGACCCCGCTGTTGGCTGTGCGGAACCTCGGTCCCGGTGATTCACAGCATGAGACCCAGGCCCGCGATCAGACCGCGGCGCTGCTGGACAGCGCAGGGTTGGGGGCCGCGGCTCTCTTCCTGCTCCCCGCGGACTGCCGCCGCAGCGAGGGCTGCGAGGAGCTAGAGCGCCTCAGGGCGGCGCTGCGGAGCCAGGCGGAGGCGCTGCAGAGGTGAGCGATGCGGTTTCAGGCAGGGTGGGGAGGCCTGATCTCTTTAACCTAGACCCCACCCGCTAAAAGGCTCTTTGAAGTGCACAAGACCCTGCCCCCATTGAGGCTGGGTGACAGCTTTACTAGTTTTGGCTGTTTAGCCCTGCTCCTTTGCCTGGGTAGCCTGTTGGAGCAGATTTTGTGGTCAGGGAGGCTCCACCCCAAACCAGGGCTCTGTATTTGACAGTTTCCTATTCTTTAGGCTGATTGCAAGTCACGAGCTGCCCGGGACTCGCTTCCTGGGAGCCTTTTGGGGTCACAAGCCTGGCTCTCTAGCAAGAATTCTAGGAGAGGCCTGGACCTACCCTGCAGATACTGCCCACAGGAAAATTTGGAGGAGGACTTCACCTCTTCAGGAAAGTCTGTGGCCTAGAAAAGATTTCACACGAAGACACCTCAATTGCCCTAAAACCACACCCTCAGGGAGCCTTGCTATTTCTGGGTATCCTCCCACACTTCTTTGCTCCAATCCCCTTTCACTTCCTTGCCCACTTGCTGGCTACCCCCCAAATCCTTCACCCCACGACTGTTAGTTGCCTTTTTTTTGAAGTTTTGTTTTGTCTGAACAGGCTCTCACTATGTAGATTCATGCTGTCCTTAAACTCACTGTGTAGCCCAAGCTGGCCTTGAGCTCATGGCGATCCTCCTGCCTCAGCCTCCCAAGTGCTGGGATTACCATGGTGTGTGCTACCATGCCTGGCACCTTCCTCTTTTTTTTTTTTTTTTTTTAAGCTGTCTCATTTTATGGACATCGAAGTGAGGCTCAGAGAGGGTCAGCCTCCCTTACATGTTCACTCATCTTTTTTCCTTAGCTTCACTTGCCCCTTGTCACCTTAGCCACACTTCCTTGATAAGAACTAATAGATGAGACTTCTCCCCTCCTAGGCCTCCCCAATGGCCAGCCTTAGGAGAGCACACCCTTGGGGACCTTCTGAAGGTCCACGTCAAACAGTCATCAACATTCATTTAGCTCACAACACACTTGGTGTTCTAGCCTTGCTCTAAGCCTCACTCCTGGTGAGTTTTGTCCCCCCAAGGATCGTATCCCAAGTCTGCTGGGGTCCCCATCTTCGGCTCTGGTGGAAATCTCATCTCAGGTTAACCCACCTGGTCATTGAGGCCTGACTGCTACTTTAAGCCCCTCCCTTGGCTTCATTAACACCCCACCACCACCAGTTCCTGAGTCTGGCCCTTTTCCTCCTCCTGCGTCACCCTGAGATTTTTCAGAAAGCTCTGAAGCTAGATGTGGAGTGCATTACTGGGGTAATAACCCTTAATTCGGGCTGATCAAGCCCACAATCTCCCAAGCACGTGGACAACGAAGACTTAACTAAATGAGACAACTGAAATGATTATAGGGCTGAGGGTCTAACTCTTATAATATTTGAGATTCTCTGGGTTAAGACACAGACTTTCCTGGGTGGCCAGTATTTATTAGGTTTTTAACCAAAGGAAAGGAGGGGCCAAGGATGTAGCTCAATGGTGTAAGCGCCTGCCTGGCAAGCGCAAAGTCCAGAGTTTGATTCCTGGTACCGGGGAAAAAAAAAAAAATTTGCTCTCAACAAAGGAGGGGAATAGTGAAGAAAATGTAGGAATCTGGGCAGGACTTGGGGATTTCTTTAAGGATTATTCTAAGTAATACTTAAGTTTACTTAGGAGAACTATGTTGTCTCCAGGAAGGCCTTCACATTGAGAGTGAGATGCCTGCAGCTACAGCCTCCCTGTGTTTTTGTTTTTTTTGGTTTTTGGTACTGGGAATCAAACTGAGGACCTTCCGGAGGCACTTATGCCCTTATGCCACTGAGCTGTATCCCCGGCTATAGCCTCTCTTTAGATAACTGAGGTTGGAGCCAAAGTCCTCAGCTGTGGTCTGGTCTTGTCCTTTGAGGCCTCATGGCTTCACCCACCGCTGCAGGCCTCAGTAGACACCAGTGACTCACAAGTAAACGTGGAAAACCAATTGGTTAATGTAAGTCCTGCTCAGAGCTCCTTCACAGGTCTCCATCAGTGCACAATGCCAGCACTCAGAGCTGAGGCAGGAGGATCGCAAGCAGTCACATGGGCTACATATCAAGTTCAAGGCCGGCCTGGAACATGGCTTGAGATCCTGAATTAAAACCAACAGAAGGGGCTGGGGATTTAGCTCAGC